AGCGTCACCTAGGGTTGGCGGCGACGGAGGGTGGCTGGCGGTTTGTGGTGGTGTAAGGCCTAGGGCCGACGGAGACGGAGGGCGCTGTGGGCTCAAGATCAACGGTAGAGCTAGGGAAAATTGGCGACAGGGGGAGGTTGGGGGAGATGTCGCAACGGGGAGAGCCGGTGACTAGGGTGGTCGGCCCAAGGGACAGAGCAGGTTAGGGTGAAGGGTAGGTTAGGTGTGGGCGGATGATGGGGGTGGGTGAGAACTTTTGTGGGCTCCTAGCCGTCGCCCAAGCTAGCACCGGCGAGGAGGGAGGGAGAAAGAGACGTTACTCATTAGCGTTGCAGAGGAGAGAGAATAGAGAGAGCACAGTCTCCTGTAAGAGACGTTAGCGTTGGATGCAATTGTATTTCCTTATTGGTCTTGCTATGGAGGCTGGAGATAAACTCTAAACATAGGAACTGTAGTTGAAATAGGAAAGAAATTAAAGAAATGTTTTGCCTGAAAGGTAATATGGATTAAATTTGTCAATGTGTCCCAGTAATTAAAAATAATTTTCTCATTTAGGTTCTACAAGAAGATTTGCATTCAATATAAATGGACACAGACACCATCTATTAAAAATGCATACTATATGTATGCATTTTGCGTTTAGTTAAATTTGCAGAACAGTTTTAGATTGGGAAGTGATTTAAACTTAATTGCATACTATATGTATGCATTTTGCATTGATTTAAACTTATTTGCTGTCCTTGTGACTCTATAAGCAGTTCCTGAGTGTACACCGAACATAAATTTGCAGGGCCATCTTCCACATTGCAGGAGACGCGCCGTTTTGGTTGTGCTTGGCTAGTATCATTGTAGCCGCTTTAATTCCACGATTCATGTTAAAAGCATTTGTTCAGTACCTCTTTCCTAGTGACATTCAGATTGCAAGAGAGAAAGAGAAGCTTGGTGACAGAACACAGTCTCAAGAGGCAGAAATGGAAATGAACACTGTTGATTCTCCTCAGAGATGAGCTTCCCTTCTTTCCCACGTCTTATAATGTTTGTCAATCTTTATGTTGCCACTACATGCTGCCAGTTTATGTATATGATTTGCATCACATGTATATTGGGCCGTGTGTGATAAAGAATTTAGTGCCCTTTTTTTATTATTTTAATATAGGCAGTTAGGCACAATTATAATATAGTTAGTCGATAATGAGTGGTAGAAAATATAAGATACAAAAAAATGTCATTTTAACATGAGTAAATTTTACAATTGGTTCTTCAAAACAAGAGACTTTTCATATCTAGTCTTTTTTACCAAATGTTACATTTGTAGTCATTTGTTTATGTTTATCTTTTTACGGATAGTCTTTTTTTACTTTTCATCATGTTGGTATTAAATTAAGATCTAAAAGTGTAATTTCATATTCATCTTACATCCTCCTTGCCATAGTTACCTGGCTGTGGTCGTGTTAATGTGCCGGCTGTCTGCCGGAATTGTCGCCCACACAATCATAGTCGATTGTTGTTGTCACTAGTTGGAATCCAAGTTTATAGACATAGTCGTTGTTATGTTGTTCGTCAAGCCGCCACTAAAGTACATGGCTAGACTTATGGTCGATATTAAATTACACTTTTTGTTCTCAATTTAACACAAATATGGTTGAAGACATGAAGTCTAAAAAAGATTATCTATGAAAAGATACTCATATATAAAGGACCATGGACGTAATATTTGGTAATAGAATAGCCAAACTTATGGTCGATGTTGAATTACATTTTTTGTTCTCAATTTAACACGAGTATGGCGAAAGTCCAAAAAAGACTATATGTAAAAAAATAATCATAGATAAAGGATCACGAATGTAATATTTGGTTATAAAACACTAAAGAAGGAAAGTCTCCAATTATAAAAGATCAATATAGAATTTACACTTTTAATATAAATAATTGTCTTGCATGTTTAGATGTAAAGTCATCATCAAAATTGTCAATCTCAATATTATTTCACATCCTCCGTCCTAAAATATTCTCGATTTGATCGAAGCTAAGCTCGTTTTTAAGGCTTGGACTTTACCAAAATACCTCTTCTTTCTTCTACTAGTAATGTAACATTACCATACCGCCCGCAACCCATCATCTCTTGATCTCGTCCGTAAGTCTAGCAACGATATCAAGCTTTGCATATTCATATCATCACTTTACCCTCCATGATCTCTTGATCTCGTCCGTAAGTCTCTAGCACCGATATCAAGATTTGCACATTCATATAATCACTTTACCCTCCATGATGGTTCACCACCCTACATCGTTTCAATCTATACCTCACATCTGAAGCGAATCGAAATTGAAGGCTACAAAGGAATCTAAAATTAAAAAAATGCCTTTTGTGTAGAGAGGAGATGAAATTTGAAATTCAAAAGAAAAAAGTTTTATACCTACAACAAAAACTAAATCATAATCTAAAAGAGAAATGAGATCTAAAATCAAATCTGAAACCAATAATATTATCTGAAATTCTTTAACTTTGAAGAAATAGAGAGGAAAGATAAAGAGAGATGACGATGAAGAGAGGAGAAATGAGATGGGAGAGAAAGATGAGGAGAGCTGACGAATTGACGATGGACGAAGCAGAAGTGAGAACGGAGATGAAGACAATGACTATGGAGAAGTGAAAAGGAGGGTTGGTGTCATGGTGGGAGAAGGGTATTTGTATCTTTTTGTAGTAGAAAAAGGTAGTTTTAGGACGGCTTAAAATGAGAAGTAGAAAGAACGTTTTAGGACAGATAAGAGTAATTTTTAAGATTTTAACACTCGTGAAACATTTCAACGAGTCAATAATCCTAATTTGTTTATATAAATTTTTATTTTCATTCATTCAAAAAATCAAAGATCAAATATCCAAAATACAAGTTAAACCATTGAATCAAAACAACAATTGGATGATGAAAGATAAAGAGAAGAATTTACCTAAATAATATTAAAACATAGCTATTCTTCTGTACCACATGTTTTAGTTTCTATAATTAGTAATCAGTTAATTAATATTTTATTATTAATTATAATGTATCTACCCTTTAGATAGTTTTATAGTCTAATTGTTAGCCTATCTGTCCACGCCTTAGAGGGGGGAACAAGGCGTATAAACACTTTTTCAGAGCTTAATAACCTTGGTGTTAGAAAACATGGACACAATGAAAATAACATAGAAATAAAAAAGAATAAAATAGAACACACTAATTTATACAAGTTCGGAAAATCCATACTCTAGTACATTAAGGCCTCTCCTTCACGATTTCTGAATCTACAAAGTCTTGGCCTCTTGAAGTTTGTCAGAGCACTGTACTAAATTTGGAAAACAACCCTCTCCAATATGTTTGATATGAGATTTCATAACAGCTATCTTAAACCCCTTACACTGAAGATTTGCACGTTATCTTCAACTTTTCCCTAAAAGATTTGAAGACTATCCTCGAATCTTTTACCCAAATATTTCTCAGCTATCCTTAACCATTAGAACGTGAGAATTTAATTGCTATTCTCAAGTGTAAGAATGTGGATAAAAAGAAGATCCACATAGGGGTTCTACACAATGGCCTATTTAGAAGAATTCAGAACAACGCTTGGCCGATGTAGAATCAAAGCTATACACTTAGAATGTAATTGAATATATCTAACTTACAAGCTCAGTGTGTGTGTACAAAAATATGACGAACAAGGCTCTTGAAATGGCCAAAATAATAAGAATGAAAAAAATACTTAGACACACTTGAAATATAAAATATAGAAATTGGGGCTTGAGTTCTTCTGAAAATATGAATGATTATAACCCCATTTGTAGTTGAATATCAAAAGTTAACAATGATGACCGTTGGAAGCTAATTTGAGCTAAATTAGATGATTAAATTGGAAATCAGCAAATTTGAAAATCTTGGCCGTTGGAACGGTAGCTATGGTACTGCCTAACAGTTTGGGGTCCCGAGTCATGGTATGGGGTACCTTGAGGCGATATCTGAGGTTCTCTCTCACACAAAATCCTTTTGATGATAGCTATGTAAATGGTAGCAGATACGATAGGGGTGTCCCTACTGGCGGTAGCAAGGTACTGGGCCACTATGCTGGTTTTTCCAATTTTGGTCAAATCCTTTTTTATTTTGTTTAAAAAAATTTAGATGTTTGAAAATCATTTTGAGAAGGTTTTAAACACATCTTGTGAGTGCATTTGATCTTGTGAATATAGGCATATAAAATCATATTATTACATTGAATTTTACTTATATTCTACACTAATTTTGTGTTTCGATTTCATTCTGCAGAACTAATTCTTAATGGATTCTTGTTGTTCCTGAAATACTCAAACGCACGTTAGCTCATATATTGTTTGTTAACATCATAACATGAGATTTAACAAAAAAAATCTAACATTAATGACCTCCATATTTTTACTATTCAGCGCAACCCTAATATCCATTCTCTTCTTAAAATGTCCACCTTAATGCCTTTGTATGTCCATCTATTGGACTTCGGTGGAACTATGCCCACAACTCTTAATGCCTTTCTCTCCGTGAAAAAAAGAAAAATGGTCAACGTATTAAATTTCCTTGCATTGTGATTGAACAAAACAATAATGCCCAAATTATCGACAAATTATAAGGTATAGCTGGATGTACCTTCCTCTTCGTACATCATAAAAAACATGTAATTAAAAGAATATTTCAGAACGAACATTATGTTTTACCTTGTTTCAGAATGAACACAAGATTGTTTTAGAATGAATGCTATGCTGTTCACACTTTGGAACTAACACAATGGTTGAAAATTAACATTATATTCTGTTGATTCAAAATGAATATATATGCACTGCGTGTACCTAGCTCCACATAAACCCGGGTGTACGATATACATTCTCCACATTATCTTCTTGCCCACAATGTATTAAAAAAAGAAAATAAATGAGTTGTATCCTGTATTCGCTAGGCCAAATGCGACGGTGACGCTCTTGTCCAAACATAAATAGAGATCAAAGGATGTCGTTCCCCACATATATCGTGACGGTAATGGATCTCCTAGACACTCATTGATCTAAAACCACATAATTAATATATAGAGATCAAATGCACATTCATATCCGGTGCACAACCCTTTGGACTCTATGGAACTACGACAACTAAGGGTTGCTGGGATGGATGTGACGAGCAGCGATAACTTGCTAGGCAGAGGAAGGTTGGTTAGTTTACAAGTACACCATCAAAAAGAAAAAGAAGAACAATAAAAGAGAAAAAATGTTGAAGATCACAATTGGAACTTGGGAATGGATGAGGGGTAAAGGGGATTAAAATTTAAGGTTAAGTATATTTTTTAAATTTGTATTAATAATTAATTAATTAGTAATTGTTAAATATGGTAGATATATCTCGCCCATTTATTAGGAGATCTAGTTTCCATATTCACTTAGGCTTAACTCCTTCACTTTTGTATGTATATACTCCATATATGATAAATAAGACCACTAAGTTCATAACACGTTATCAAAATAACATAATAGCCTATAACCTAATTATTTTCTTTTGCCTCTACAAAAAATTGGCGCTACTAGACCAGCGTCAGATAGCCGCGTCTTTACGATGGACACATAATTGTCCACATAGTTGATTTTTTCTCAAAATCATCTTTGAGCAATGACAATATTTCATGGTCCTCGGCGGAGACTCCAATCTACGTTGAGAGTGGTGTTTCATCTGTTGTGAGCGGGAGTTCCCTGTGACCCTGCCTAGTTCTAGCCAAAGTAGCGACAGCAAGGCGAAAGGGCAGGGACTTGTTACGATGCCGTAGAACATTAACGGTGACCCTAGCGATAAGATGTAAACGGCGAGAGTGTATCCGAGGGGAGCACGATGTTTTCCAAAAGGAAGATGCAGATCCATTAGATCATCAAGGTACCGTTCGTACGGTAGGGGTGCCGTGAGTGGCGGTATCTAGGTACCGTATACCTTCAAAAATCAATCCGGCTCTGGCGGTACCTAGTCTATAACGGTACCATGGTACCTTGCCGGCGATATACCCTACCATGTAAATGGTATAGGGTACCGTTTGGGGTACCGTGGCCACTGACAGGTTTTTCCAAAAATGTCTTAATCCTTCTCGTTTGAGTTTAAAACCTTTTGGATGTTTGAAAGTATTTATGAGATGGTTTTAAACATATTTTGTGAGTGAATTTGAGCTTGTGAATATAGGTATATAAAACCATATCCTTACATTGGTTTCTACGTATATTCTACACTAGTTTTTTACTTCATTTTTGAGAATCGAATCTTAATGGATTCTTGTTATACCTGAAACACTTAAACAAACGTTTAGCTTTTATATTATTTGTTAACATCAAAACACGAGGCTTAGCAAACCAAGGCTAACATAAACCACTTTTTCGGGGTGTCGACCAGACGAACTTGGTACCGAGACGGCACCGCACCGTATATCGAAATCTGGTAAATAAATAAATAAAGCGGAGAGAAAGTATTTATATATGGAAACTCAAATCGGGAGAAAACCACAAGCCTTTTTAGGCGGTCCCATGCCAATGGGAGGAACTTTTATCATTGTCAGAAGAATTTACATATACTCTCTCTGTCCCAAAAAGTCTTTCCTATTTCATTTTTTGCGCATCCCATAAAATACTTCTACAGACATCTAAAATGCCTAAAATTTACAACATTTCTTCTTTATTGTGGGTATAAGTTATTTTGAAAGTCTTTTTGGCATTCAAGGCGGGATAGAAGTGTTTTATGGGATGCGCAAAAAATGAAACAGGAAAGAGTTTTTGGGACGGAGGGAGTACATCATTGTCGAAATTTAGAGCCATCAATGGAGCTATAAAACCCTAAATCAGAAGAAGAAAGAATTATAATACTAGGAGCTCTCTCTCCTCTTCTCTCGTAACCTCTACTTATTTAAAGGGGGAATCCCTTTCAAAAAATCTATGTGGGCTCCTCGAAGATGTAGGTTCTTTTCTTCCCTTTTCCTGCGTAGCTTTCTTTAAAGGGAGAGAGGAATAATTAATAGAGGCAAACAGGACATCCTCCATGTGAAACCCACATGGCTTTCAAGAGAATTTCCCTAGGGTCCCATAAGATATATTTACATCACTTCTTTTTTGATCCCATAAGATATATATTTACATTACTTCTAATATAGTCTTTTGTCCATATATCTCTGATTTTGTCTCTACGATAATCTGATTTGTGTTTTGGGCCAGACTGAATTGGGTTTTCTTAAATTTAAAGTTTGACCAACAATAACTCTTAAAACATATTAGCAAACCAATATCAAAAACAATACATTTAAAGTGTTTTTCAATACCAATAAATTGGTAAAATTTTTATATTTTAATTCATTGTATATTTTTATATATAGTTAATCAAATATTTACATGCTAAGCGAAACAAATAGTTAAATATGAATGAAGTGAGCATATAATGTTAATTAACATTATAGTAATATAATTTTTATTATTAATTCTCCACATACTATTAATAATACTCCACCTTCTATTATCAATTATTATTATTATTACTATTATTATTATTACTATTATTATTATTATTACTATTATTATTTTCATTACCCCACTTCGTACTTTTATCTCATTAATTTTTTTAATATTTATTTTAATTTAAAAAAATTTCCATCAAAATTTAACTGAAATAATAATAATAATTTTTTTATTATTATTATTAATACTCTACCTATTATTACTAATAGTCCACCTTTTCTTATCAATGCTCCACTTTTTTTTATAGTAATATTATTAATAATTATATTTTCACTATTATTATAGAAATCATCCAAAATAAGACTAAAACATAGAGAAAAGTATCAAAATAAGACTTTCATATTTTTTCTCTGAAATAGGACTTCGCACTCTGGTAATGTGGCCCTGTACATGTGTACATTATTATACTTTTTGGCAATGTACATGACCATGTTTGGTAATGTAAATGCACTTTAAGTCCTATTTCGAGAATAAAAACATAAAAGTCCTATTTTAGTATATTTTCAATGTTTCAGTCCTACTTTGGTCTCTCTCTTATTATTATTATTATTAATACCTCATTTCATATTTTTGTCCCACTCACTATTTTTAATTTTTTTAAAATTTAAAAAAATTTGTTTGTATATTAATGTTGGAAATTGTATTGAACTTTAAATTTAATACTTAGTACATCTATTTCTTCTTGAGCATGAGATTTTTATCTTTACGAGAGTGAAAGATGCAATGCTAAAGTTGGAGAAAAAATAACAACATTTATTTTATATTCTCAGAATTAGTTTTTCTATTTTTTCTTATACACACAATTAGGAATATTATAATATAATAGAAATCACCATAAATAAGACTAAAACATAGAGAGAAGTACCAAAATAGGATTTTCATGTTTTTATTCTTGAAATAGGACTTCACACTGGTAATGTGGCACTGTACATGTGTATATTAACATACTTTTTGATAATGTACATGACCATGGTTGGTAATGTAAATGTATTTTAACTTCTATTTTGAGAATTAAAACATGAAAGTCCTATTTTGGTATATTTTCAATATTTTACTCTAATTTTTTTCCTTTTGTCCCATAATATAACTTACCATTTATATATTGTCATTATGGTATACGAAATATTACCATTTATATACTCTCTCCGTCTTAAAATTAATTTCTCAGTTTGACTTTTACAGTTAAACTTTTTAAATTTTGACTGTATATTACGAAAAATATATATTAAAATTTCATATAATTTATTATCAATAGATTCATTTTGAAACATAGTTTTGAAATATATTATTTTTATAATATATATTCATATAAAAATGGATATATTAATGATCAAAGTATCGCATTGGAGACCGTGAAAAGTCAAATGGGAAATTAATTTTAGGACGGAGGGAGTATTATTTATTTATGTTAAGGAATATTATTTTGATTCTAATGTTTTCTTTTTTTTGTTATACGTATAATAATAAAAAGTATTTATATATTATCATAAAATGAACACTTACTATATATAATTCAAAGTTAATGAGCAGAAAAAAGAGATAAATATTTCTCCCGTATTTAAATAAAGTATTGATATAAAGACCCAAATCTTTTGGTTTGAAAAAATTAACTTCCAGTTTTTTTCTAACTCCTTCCAATGACTTAAAAAAATATTTATATATGATTAATATACAATAACATTATATATCTAAACTTATTTATACATACCATCTCAAAGACGCACAAGGATGGATTCTTTTTAATCCAATATTTGAATTTTTTACATATTTATTTGGGCTATCATTTCAGTGAGTGAGTTTTTAACATTTTAATTCTTCTAACATTTTTCAATTTCTTCAAAGATTTTCCAACTTCTTCAACCTTCCAAATCAAAACGGGATTCTACTCCTCCCTCTTTGGTCGTATCTCTTCGCATGAGTATTCTAACTCTTTTAAATTTCTTCCAACGTGTAATTCAGAATAGTGAAGTATTGATACTAAACTAAAGAAGCTTAGCTTCTATGGCTCGGCGTGCTCCACTATAATCTAGCCAGCCAAATCCCGTAAAACCCAGCCAGATTTCCAGTCCTAAACTCACCACCCCCACCCATATGAATCCGATCCTTCTCCTCCAAAATAGTGAAATACTACTGCACAATTTCCACCTTTTTTCAGTCCCCTACCTCCCCCCTCTTTCTCTCCATGTGAAAATTTCTAAAACAATTGCGACAATAAAATCCCATCAATTTCTCGACTTGCCTTTTTCTGCTCATTTCACACGCCTAAATAGAAACTTTCTTTCGTTTTGATCCCCTTCCTTCTAGAACTCTCTCACTAGGACATCTTTCTCTTCGGGGCTCCATTTCTTGAACTTCCGGCGTGCCAGTGCAATAATACTCCCGGCAAGGCTGCAATTTGAGGGTTTCTCGTCTGCTTTAGTTTGGGTTTAAGTTGATTGTAGTTGAGCAGTTGAACTTGTGTGATTGGGGAGAGATCTGCTGGAGGGGAGTATTGAAGAATTGCGGGGGTTTTGGATCCGATCGCTGGGGAAACAGCGCCACTAGATGGCGCTGTTCAGGCGCTTCTTTTACCGGAAGCCGCCAGATAGGCTCCTCGAAATCTCTGAACGGGTCTACGGTCTGTCTACTTCGTTTTCTTTGCTCTGTGAATTTGAATCTCTGTATTGAATGTATGCACTTTGAATTTGTTGTTTTTACTATAGAGTTCCCAATTTGCCTGAGTTTATTATAAATTGAGCTCCTGTTTGTAAATTTTTGTTAACATTGGTTGTGGGTTTACTTGCTGTTGCTTGGGTGAAGATTCATTTCAAGGTAACCTTATCATTGGAAGTGCTGCCTTTTTTGAGTTCTTGTATTGATTGTTTCTCATCTTAGCTCAATATAAAGCAACTTGCGTGTAAGATATGCTATTTTTGGCCTTATGAGAGCAAAATGTGGAAAATTTACCCTCGTACTATTTCATCGACTTAGGATGAACTCATGCAGGTGGAGTACTTGCAGGGGGGGGGGGGGGGGGGCATTTGTTTCATTTGCTTATACTTTGAACCTGGTGAATGGGGTGTGAACCTACATTGAAATGATATTTTTGTTAAGACTATTTATTAGTTCTGGTTTTTGTACAGTGTTTGATTGCTGCTTCTCCACTGATGTGTTGGACGAAGACATGTTTAGATCTTACATGGGCGGTATCGTAGCTCAACTACAAGACTATTATCCCGACTCTTCTTTCATGGTATTTAACTTCAGAGAAGGCGACAGGAGAAGCCTAATATCTGACATCTTATCCCCATATGATATGACTGTTATGGATTATCCTCGGCAATATGAAGGGTGTCCAATATTACCATTAGAAATGATCCACCACTTCTTGCGGTCCAGTGAGAGTTGGTTGTCACTTGAAGGCCAACAAAATGTGCTGCTGATGCACTGTGAGAGAGGAGGATGGCCTGTGCTGGCCTTCATGCTTGCAGGACTTCTTTTGTACAGAAAGCAGTACAGTGGTGAGCAGAAGACACTTGAAGTGGTATATAAACAAGCACCAAGGGAACTTCTTCATCTTTTATCTCCTTTGAATCCACAGCCATCCCAGCTAAGATATCTCCAATATATCTCTAGGAGAAACCTTGGTTCCGATTGGCCACCATCATACACACCTCTAGTTTTAGATTGTATCATACTCAGGGTCATCCCCGTGTACGAGGTTGGAAGGGGTTTCCGACCAGTGGTTCGTGTTTATGGTCAGGATCCTTCTTCAACTAAATCTAACAGAAGTTCCAAGCTCTTGTTTTCAACTCCATGTTCAAAAAAACATTCTAGATTCTACCGGAAGGTAATGATAAAATTTTAGAGTATCAGAGTGAAACACTTAAATTAGCTCAGTCCTGAAGCTTTCTGCTCACTTTCATACTGCAGGTAGAGTGCGAACTAGTTAAAATAGATATCCACTGCCATGTCCAGGGGGACATTGTCCTTGAGTGCATACATTTGGATGACAAGCTTGGAAGGGAAGAAATGGTGTTTAGAGTCATGTTTCACACAGCTTTTATAAGGTCAAATGTTTTGATGCTAAGTCGCGAAGATGTTGATGTCTTGTGGGATGCGAAAGAGCAGTTTTCCAAGGACTTTAGAGCAGAGGTTGGTTACTTTTCCCCCCTTCTAATTTTTATCCAAACCCGACGGAGTTGAAGCATACTAACTATTGTACCAGGTACTCTTTTCGGATGTGGATTCCGATCCTCCTGTTTTATCAACTGAAGCATCAAATGAAGGTGAAAATGAGACGGGAAGTGCCTCACCCGATGAGTTTTATGAGGTTGAAGAGATTTTCAGCAATGTTGCTGATGGGCAGGATGTAAGGGGCGACTTAGATAACCGCAAACCAGTGAGTAAGCTTGATGATGAGTGCCAGGAAGTAGTTTGGAAGGAGGAATTGGACCATCACACTTTCCAAGATTGTGCATCTGAAGAAGGCAATCACAGGCGTGATGCTAGGATTGATCCTATTCATCCTGAAGCAGATGCCAACATTATGGGTGATGAGTATGTTTTGTTAGAGGCTGCTGATGTGTTTCCCAATGATTCTGGTAATGTGGAAACAAGAGCAGTACTTTTGGGTGTTTGTGAGGAATCACTAAAAGTGGGATATAAGCAGTACGGTGAAATTGCACTCTCACAGAAGAAGCTAGACAGGCATGGTTCAGAACATAAGACTGGAGGTGAAATTAATAATAACCAAAAGTCTGACAATGCACCTTTGGCTGCTTCAAATAAACAATTAGCAAAATCAAAACCTTCATCAGATGCCATTGCAAATAACACATCTAAACAACAAGAATCTCAGGGGAACCTTTCAAGACAGGCTAAGCCAAATGTAGTATCCCGATGGATCATTCCTAATAAAGACTCGTATACCAATTCAATGCATATATCACACCCACCGTCAAGGTATAACAGCGCTCCACCTGCATTTGTGCTTGCTAAGGATTCTCAGTCAAGTGGAAAATCAAAATTATCATCCCTCTGTACTTCTACAGATGCTGCTGCTTCAGAGAATATTAATACTGAAGCAGCTGGTTGTGCACCTTGTTCTCCTTTGACGGGCATTATGATGCCTCAAGTGGAATTAAGTCCCCTTTCAACGTCTCCCGCAGTTGAGAGCCAGGACCTACGAGAGTCGTCACTTCCACTTCCAGATCAGCATACCAGTTCCCCATCCTCTCAAGTCTTATGTAGGCTAGAAGGTTGTGGTGTCTCACCTTCTCCTCCATTCCAACAGTTCACCTTTCAAGAAAGTAGTGTAACAAATTCTACTACTTACCGACCTCCTCCTCCCCCTCCTCCACCCCCTTTGCCCCTGTTTTCTACTCGTATTACTGTCTTAACCTCATCACCACCAACTCCTACCTCACCTTGTCCCATCTCTACACCAACTACTGTGACAAATTGGATTAATGTAGCTTCTTCTGTGGCACTATCAAAGTCCGTGCCAAATGCACCACCGCCCCCTCCTCCACTATTACTTTCATCATCCATAGTAAAATCTGCTATTGTTAGAGGATCTACTCCA